TGATTTGAAGCGGGCAGAATGCTAGAGCTAACGAGCCATTAATTGACGAAAATAACCATAATTTTTACCCCTCCCATCAAATATTGCGCTGCAAACATCAACAGCTTTAATGATCTATCTTATCTATCTATATATATATGTATATATATATGGCAATATGTTATTGGCAATAACGATCGAAGCGAAGTGTCTGTGTGACAGACTATCTGTGACTGAAAGCTGACTTAATGTTTGTCTGTGTGACAGAACCAAAGGCTGATTTAGCGCATTTTCTGTTTAACGAAACTGAAAGCTGATTTGATGCGTGGTGGAACTCAAGCTGTTTTAGCACCTTTCTGTGTGACCAAACTGAAGCTGACTAAGTGCATGTCTGTGTGACAGACTAAGGCAAGTGTGAGTATGGACGAACTTAAATATCTTATTTAATTGTTGTGGGAGGAGTTACAATCAGCTGAGCATCAGCTGATGCTGTGGTGACTTCTGCCGTTTCTGTGAGAAATCCCTCTAGAAGTCTTGAGGTTTTGATGCCAGAAGATAGACTTTATTGTCAGAGACAATGAATCCGAGAAACTCTGCAGAGAATCCGTCGAATCTGTCTGCACACTTGTTATATAGTTTTTCCTCAAGATGTGTTTAACACATTTCATATACAGTCCTTCTACCCCATACAATGTACACATTGTACTCCCCTGCAGTCCTCCATACACATAGGAAACATATGATCATAATAGTAGAATAACTTGACTACACACATTACACTCTCCTACAGGCCTCCCTACATACAAGAAACACATGATCATAATAGTATATTACAAACATGGCTATATTCACATTGATTATACTTGATTAATTCATATTCTGATTAATAAAAATCTTATACAATGCTGGCTGTCACGCCGTGGTCTGCCTGAACTACGTTTGAGCTCCATTTGTCACTCAAACTAGATTTATGAAAACTGCCCAGTATTGAGAAAATAATTTTACCCTTAAAATCTACCTGTACACTAACATTCAAAAGTTTAGGGTCGGTAAAATTGTTTAATATTCTTGAAAGAAGTCTCTTAGAGGCCGCATTGTTTAATCAAAAATAGGCTATATTAAAAACAGGAATATTGTGAAATATTATTACAATTTAAAATGAATGTCTTCTATTTTGATATATAAATTATTCCTGTGATGGTAAAGCTACATTTTCAGAAGCCATTACATGATCCTGCAGAAATCATTCTAATTTGTTGATTTGGAAATCAAGTAACATTTATTTTTTGTTGTTATTATTATCAGTGTTGAAAACAGTTTTTGCTGCTCAATATTTTTGTGGAAATCATGATACAGTTTTTTCAGGATTCTTTGAAAGTTTAAAAGAACAGCAGTTATTTGAAATATAAATCTTTAATAGCATTATAAATATCTTTAATGTCTCACACACACACACACATGCTTGAATTTGCAGTCTAATCCTTTGAGTGACCACTGACTATTTGGTCAGTTATAATCTATGGAACTTTTATTCCTAAACTACTAAATGATGTGCTTTTGCTGTAAATGTTTCAGGAGAAACTGAGCACACAGGATCAGTTCAGTCGTCATCTAACACGACCTCCACCAGACTACAAACACCCACGCAATGGAGTTGCCGCTCAACAGCCAAGCTTATACTCAGGTGTGGATTGTATTTTCAGTGTCATATAATATGGGAATGAAATATCTAGTTCAATCATGAAACTCTAGATGGCACAGACTGATAGGACCTTCACATGTAATCTGTTAGCAATCACATCATTTACTACACATGCTGATTGGCCTCTGCTGATTCTGCAGCCAATGAGATTGCTTGCTCAACATTTAAATAGACTGTTGCAGTGTTCACCATAAGCTCTTCCTGCAGCACGCTATCAGAATTCCTCTAAAACCCTCCACCTCCCCCAGCTCCACCTGTCTAGAGCAAGTCCATACTTGCTTAGCAACAGCAGCATGCATAGGAGATCTAGTCTGCTAAGACCAAATACATTACCATTGTCATATCCATTAACATGCTAAAACTATTCAGAGAGTTGTCATGATTGAACTACATAATGAAGTAAATGAAATGAATTATACTCACACTGATGATGTGGTACGAATACGATTAATTGAACTTAATTGATTAAGCAACCACACCAAACCTTGACTCAGATATTAGTAATTTTCAGTATGTTATTGCTTAGTAAATCAATATTTTACGTCACAGATAAATTTTATGCATATGCAACAGGCAATGGGTCAGACCAAAGTGGAATCCAACCCTTGTCATGCCACCTACCCAATGGACAAAGTACCAAGATGGTGCCTACCTCAGGAGAGAGAAGGTTTCCACTTGGACAAGACCCTAATTCAGGACCCACAGGCTCTCAAGCTTGCACAAACCAGCTCCGACAGCAACCCAGCAGCCTGATCCGAATGGGGCTTCAGCAAAACAAGCATCAGTTCCATGGGACAAACAACCAGAGTGCCACTTTTCAATCAAGCACTCAGCATGTAAGGACGAGCATCCGTCAGGATTCCCTGCTGGGGCAAAGATTGGGTGACATGAGCACCAATACCAGCAGGATGGACACTGCTTTGAACTGGACAAACAGCGGACAACAGAGTGGAGCTCTGTCAGGACTAGATGTCAAAAGGCTCTCCAATACAGTGATGCCCCAAAGTGACATTCATTTTCCTCCGAGGTCTATTTGCCCACCTAACCAGGTGGCGCCTCATTCTAACCTGTTATCCATAAACCCTGCAATCAGAAGCCCTGCTCCTAGAGCCAGTCAGCCTAGGATACCCCCTCTACCTGGGGTGACTTGCCTGACTCAGTCGTCCCCAGAACAGCAAGGTTGCCCGACCACATTTGGAGAGCTGAGCCAAAGCCCAGCAACTTATCAGAACAACCGGGCAGGTCGATTGACCTTTGACTTCTTACCGGAGGATGATAACACGGTACCAGGGATAAATGCAGACTCGGATTTCATCGACTCCCTGCTTAAATCAGGTTCAGGCAATGATGACTGGATGAAAGACATCAACCTGGAGGAAATTCTAGGCGGACATTCATAAAACAGACTCAAAGCATGAGAATTTAGTTTGAACTGACTATATTAGGAGTCTGATGTGAATGGCCTGTTAAAATGTTTTATTACCCCTCTATTTGTGTGGAAAACAAATGTATTATATGTTCTACTATATTGTTGGGTTGTTTCTTTATATCGTCTACTAACATGTTGTAAAGTTTCATGTTCATAGCTTCAGTGTTTTAAATCAACCACAGAGTACCCCCAAATCCATACCAGTTATAATTAAAATGCTGTGAGATTTCTGTTAGAGCTTTTGTTACTAATCCATTAGTGCAGAGATTAATGTACAAGAGCTTGTGATTTGACTGCCATGATAGAGACACTGAGCATGACATTGGCACTTAAAAAACAATTTATTATGATAAATACTTTGTTCTGGCTCTTATAGATCAAGGTTATACATCTTAAATATTGTAATACTGAAATACTGTTGCATAACATAAAAGTCCAGATCTGTTTTGACTATCTATTCTCAAATTACATATCAACGGGTATTGAAAACGAGCCATTTATGTATCATTTTATTACACATCCAAAAGAGAAAATTTGTAAAGGGAATACACATATGCTCAGAATGTTAGATGCTATTGTTAACTGATAAAGTCGACCTTCTTTAGAAAGACACATTAAGTTTATAAGTTCTTATTAGTAATATTGTATTTATACACCTGTATCTCAGTATATAAAATATATTTTCTATTTCTTTTCTATTATGCGTCATAAAAGTGTATATCCTATTATGTCAATTTAGCCCTTGATAATAAACTACATCAAAGAAGAACCTTTACAGCACATTTTGACAATTTGTTTCTTATATTACAGGTCAAATGGAAGTGAAGTGCCACAAGGCTCTGTCTTAGGTCCTCTGTTGTTTTTACCAGATTCAGAAAATCTGATCATCAGCAGTAATCCATCATTTCTACACTGAACACCTGTTAGATTCCTGAACAGTTAAAATATTGCTACATGTAAAGCTCTTAATACTGCAGATCTTCAGTACTTAACCAGTCTTCCTTCAATAACCCTGTAGTCCATAGCTCACTGAATTTACAAGATGATTTTTAATTATGAACTATAAAAATATAACTTTACCATTATTTGTTTGCCTATTCTCACAAGCAAACCAAATGTCACAGTCATGAGTTCAATCTATAAACAATAAAAAATAAGTTATTTTTTTATTATAGTTATTATTTACTTAGGTAACACTTTACATCACAGTTCTATGTTAACTTTAGTTAGTAACCATGTAGTTAAATAACCATGAACAATTTATTAAACTAAGTTTATTTTAATTTTTACATATACTAATATTTATAACACTTCACGGTAGTTAGTTATTACGTCAGTTAATTATGAACTAACAAATTAAGAATGAATAATAGCACATTTGTTAACCACTTAAGCTCAGGGCGTTTTTTGGTATTTTCGCCTAAATTTAAGGCTCTGTCTTAGGTCCTCTGTTGTTTTTACCAGATTCAGAAAATCTGATCATCAGCAGTAATCCATCATTTCTACACTGAACACCTGTTAGATTCCTGAACAGTTAAAATATTGCTACATGTAAAGCTCTTAATACTGCAGATCTTCAGTACTTAACCAGTCTTCCTTCAATAACCCTGTAGTCCATAGCTCACTGAATTTACAAGATGATTTTTAATTATGAACTATAAAAATATAACTTTACCATTATTTGTTTGCCTATTCTCACAAGCAAACCAAATGTCACAGTCATGAGTTCAATCTATAAACAATAAAAAATAAGTTATTTTTTTATTATAGTTATTATTTACTTAGGTAACACTTTACATCACAGTTCTATGTTAACTTTAGTTAGTAACCATGTAGTTAAATAACCATGAACAATTTATTAAACTAAGTTTATTTTAATTTTTACATATACTAATATTTATAACACTTCACGGTAGTTAGTTATTACGTCAGTTAATTATGAACTAACAAATTAAGAATGAATAATAGCACATTTGTTAACTAACATGAATCTAAACTAATAAACTTTAACTTACTGGACCTTATTGTAAAGTACTGCCTTTCTTTAACAATACTGTTATACAGCAATAAATAAAATACTACATACATGATTTATACCACAGAGGAATCAAAGACCGCAAGGCTTTGAATAAAGGTCTTGACTTAAATTGATTAAACCCTGTAACTTGAGATATCAGCCTTTTCCATCATGACTTGAGACTTGATACTAGCAATCTGAACCCATATCGGATCCAAATAGACGGACAAAAACAGTATGGGGGCTAAATCATATAGGCCCGAAAATAGTTAAACATATGGGACATGTGTACCAGATTTGAATATATTTCTAACAATCAAAAGACGTTGTTTTACAAAAGACATGTTTTACATATTTAAGGTTTTCACTTATGTTAAATGCTCAGATGCTGAGATGTTCAAATGGGCAGGTTGCGAAGGGTAATCATGTTATTAAGATTCACAAGCCAAAATGAAAGTCAAAAATTAAGCCCACATCAAAACCTATAAAAGTCTATAAAATACTCTTTTTTGCAGGCCAGGAGATGTATGCTACAAATCAGGTGACCCTGCTTCAAACCTCTTTAGAAAAAAGGTACTGTCCCATTCCAGTCAATAACAGCTCCCTCCCACTTGGTCCTAATGGTCATCTCTACAGATGGAAACGTTTTTTTCTGGGTCTCCTTGAATGTCATTATTTTCAGCCTCCCAGTGATGGGAGTGTGTATCTGAAATACAAAAGAGCAATACAATAAATACATTTTAAATGTTTGGTTCACACAGGCAGGTGGCATCAATGAGCAAGATGCATGGGCAGCAGCTAATGACTGTACCTATGGTGAGCATTGTGTTGAGCTGAGTGGGATGGCCATTGTAGAAGTAAAGCTGGAAAAGATGCTCCATTTTCCAGTCAGAGAGCAATGAACGGTTTGGGCTGAATAAAGCGTGACACAGCGCCAAACCAGGTAGGTGCCATTGATGTTGCACACCCAGATAGGCAGCTTGGGTGTTTTCAGCATGCTGCCCACCTTAGGAGAAAAGTGTTCAACTCAACATGGATGCGTTCAAAATATAATAGATTGCAGTGCAGTAATACAGGAACTAAGAAGCCAAAAGTCCTGTGGGAGCAGATAAACCAGCACTCTTTAAGTAAAGTCATACAAAATGATACCAGAAAAACATCAATACACTCTGGGTATTAGCTTAGAACAGATCACATGAACCATGTGGTGCAAGCAACATGCAGAAAACAACAAAACGGGAAATTATATCACAGAAAGGACCCCTCATGACCGTGTGTCAAAGGTCAGTAATGCTGTTTGACATTTTTATAACAAGGAAATGATAGTAAAGGCTGTAATATGTCAGTTGGTGTGGTGTGACGTGTGAATACATCATTTCAGATATTTGAAAAAAAAAAACTATACCTTTAAAAAATATTTTACAACATTTTTTTTGAAAATTATGATTAATATTTGTACACTCACATATATCCAAGAAGTTTACTTGCTGGTTTAAAGTCATATATTAGAGAAATATATTTCTAAACTTAATAATTGTAATACTTTATGTGTGTGTGTGTGTGTGTGTGTGTGTGTGTTTTTTTTTTTTTTTTCTTTTTTTCATGACCGTGTGTCAAAGGTCAGTAATGCTGTTTGACATTTTTATAACAAGGAAATGATAGTAAAGGCTGTAATATGTCAGTTGGTGTGGTGTGACGTGTGAATACATCATTTCAGATATTTGAAAAAAAAAAACTATACCTTTAAAAAATATTTTACAACATTTTTTTTGAAAATTATGATTAATATTTGTACACTCACATATATCCAAGAAGTTTACTTGCTGGTTTAAAGTCATATATTAGAGAAATATATTTCTAAACTTAATAATTGTAATACTTTATGTGTGTGTGTGTGTGTGTGTGTGTGTGTGTGTGTGTTTTTTTTTTTTTTTCCTTTTTTATCATTGACATTTATTTCCTTTATGAAAAAGAAAAAAAATATACTTCTGGGTCAAAAGCACTCAATTTCAGATAATAACTGTTGGACTGTAATATATTTTAATTTAATTGCAATTTACATTCAACTAAGTGTCTGAAAACATTACATTCATTATATTATTTCCAAAAGTATTCTTCAAAAAAAGCACACCTAAAGCGCACTTCTTTTTGACGAAGGTTGTCACTGATCTATTAGCAGAACCCTTTGGAGAAACTCTAGGGAGCCATTTTAGGGTGCCTCAAGTAACCTCGCCTTTTAATCAATCAATCATTGTTAAAGTCCCCATGCAATCAGTTAGTATCAATATGTTAGTCTTAAGGTTATCTATAAGGCAGTGTGCTCCAAAACAGTGACAAACTTTGCATTTAGAAGATATAAGCATTCAAAGATTGCAGTTCGTCACTTCCGCCAAAACGGCTCAACGATGCTCTCTAGAAGCCAAAGCCCCGCCCCCTACACTATAAATAGACGCTGAAGCGGTTGAAATCGGTCACTTGTTCACAGTGTAGTGTGGCTGGCATACCCTGTCAAATGCGGCTTTATGGAGTTCAACGGCTCTGTACGGCTCTAGCCCAAGCTGTGATATAAACGAACACTATTGGCTATTTTAAAAAGGGGCGGGGCTGCTTGATATGTCACGCCCTGTCTTCCTGTTTCAGTTAAAATGACGTCAACACATAGAGTAACGCTGCGTGTTTCTAAGCATTTCAGGGGAATTTTAAGATTCTTTTTAATGTGCCTATAAAAATACTGTAAGGTTTCTCCATGTCTTTATTACTTTATTAAAATTATGCAAAGCAAAACCATAAATGTTGACTTTCACAAACCATCACTTATTTGTGAGCTTGCGCTTGGGAGACTGAGAACAACAAGTTTAAAGTTTACAGGCTCATAACTTGTAAGAATGCGTATTGCAAAATGTCTTTATTGTGCACTGAAGGAACTTCAACTCCAAGGGCTCCATTTTTTTACAATAAATTCCTCAGAGAAATACCCCTTTTTCTTTTGTGAATATTTTTGCCTAGAGATCCTCTAAAACAGGGGTGTCAAACTCAATTACTGGAGGGCCGGAGCCCTGCAGAGTTTACCCCTGCTGTAATGGGTTTGATCAATATGGTAATCTCAGGTATCTTGTCGTTTTTACAGCGTTTATTCATATGTTATGCCTACTGTTAACCTAATGGAAAGTTTAGAGAGAAAGAGGATGGGTGCTGTACCAGCGGGACCCTTACGAAAAAGAAGTTTATTCAAGTGTGCTATTAGTATACTTCTTTTAAACAAAAAATAGGAAAGTATACTTTTAGTCTACTTTTTATGTACTTCTCAGAAATGGGCTTTATGCACTTCTCAGAAATATACTTAAAATGACATTTAAGTATACTTGACTTATACTTAGAAAAAGTCTAAATATATT